CAACCACACCCAGCACCAAATCCAACCACACCCAGCACCAAATCCAACCACACCCAGCACCAAATCCAACCACACCCAGCACCAAATCCAACCACAACCAGCACCAAAGGCAACCACACCAGCACCAAAGGCAACCACACCAGCACCAAATCCAACCACACTCAGCACCAAATCCAACCACACCAGCACCAAATCCAACCACACCCAGCACCAAAGCCAACCACACCCAGCACCAAATCCAACCACACCCAGCACCAAATCCAACCACACCCAGCACCAAATCCAACCACAAACAGCACCAAATCCAACCACACCAGCACCAAAGGCAACCACACCAGCACCAAATCCAACCACCCCAGAACCAAATCCAACCACACCCAGAACCAAATCCAACCACACCCAGAACCAAATCCAACCACACCCAGAACCAAATCCAACCACACCCAGAACCAAATCCAACCACACCCAGAACCAAATCCAACCACACCCAGAACCAAATCCAACCACACCCAGAACCAAATCCAACCACACCCAGAACCAAATCCAACCACACCCAGAACCAAATCCAACCACACCCAGAACCAAATCCAACCACACCCAGAACCAAATCCAACCACACCCAGAACCAAATCCAACCACACCCAGAACCAAATCCAACCACACCCAGAACCAAATCCAACCACACCCTGTCCACCATGACCCCTAACCTAGCCAGCTAGTATATATATATTTGTGTCTGTGGACAGAGGCTACTTTTATTACATTTATCTTTTAGCCTAAAGTCTCTGGACTTTGGTTATAAGTTCGTTTCGTGGTGTTATTAGTGTACTTGTAATTCATGGGGACCTGGGATGAAGTCTGCCTCGAAATGTCTACCGAGACCTTCTCTTCCATCCCCTGACCTCCAAAATATTCAAAGTGATTTTCAATAGGAAGCAGCTTCTGGCCTCTTCGGTCCTCACAAGGAAAAGTGCATGGACCAGAGAGAGGTCTGTAGGGAATTAGCACCCTCCACGCGTCCTCTCTGGAACGTGCTCCTTAGTGAGGGAACTTCCCTACAATTTTCCATTTTGAAATGGGCCCGCCCCTTCGTGTCCCACGCCCAGGCCTGGCTCTCTGAGCCCGTCGGACACGAGGCCTCGGCCCTCCAAGTTGGAATTGGGGGGGGTCCTCCTGCCTTGTGCTGACGTGGGCTGTGTGGCCTGGGGACTGGTGTGAGTCAGCCACATCCATGCTGCTGCTTAAAGCGGACGCTTCTTAGAATGTCTGCAGGGAGCTCTACATCTGAGGGTGTTGTCCCTTCGCGAAAAGGCAGCGAGTGGGGGGGCAGCCTGGGGGGAAGGATGGGTTTACTTTAACGAGCCACTGAGCATGTTTTTCTCTGACTCTGACAGTGGTTCCCTTTGGGAAAGCGGATGAACGGACATGAGATACAGGCTACCGCTCCTCAGGGGAATCGGTTCCCAGGCGTGAGATGCTCGGACGCTAACAGTGGGATATTCACTCGGGGGAGAAACGCTGACAAGCGGCCAAGGGTCTCTTACTACCGCTTCTCACACGGACAATGGCCACTTGTCCTGGGAGCCCGGTCCCTGTGCTCAAAGGCAAATTGTGAGGGTGAAAAGTGGACGAAACGGCTTCGAGCGGCCACCTGACAGCTTCCGTAACGGGCTCCGATGCACCTGCAGTCCCGGGGGGTCGTCCCAGGCACCCCTCCTCTCCAAGACCCACTTCTGTTCTGCAGCAGCGAACTCACAGCCGCTGAACGGCTTTAGAATAAAATTAACCGCCCGGCTGGTGGATCTGGAGACTCTGTCCCTTCTCTCCTGTCCCTGTCACATGAGGGCGGGACGAATGACCTCACAGGTCTCCACTCACAGATGCTCGGGCTCTACCGCTTCCCTCCGGACTCTCCTTTCCCTCAAGTAGCAGGGTCTTTGCTTCATTACGGAAAAGGTGAGTAAGTGGAGAGGCTTCGAGCGAGGCGGTAAAAAAAGGCCCGAACTCGTCAACCGAAATCTGATTTCTAAGCACCACACACGCACATCCCCGAGGACACACCCTCCTTCGTCGGAGACAAGGTCACACACCCAGCGTCCCCGCTGTCCGCGGTCACCCTGCCAGCGCCCTCCGCGGCCCGCGCCTCCCTGACGACCCGCCTTCTCCACGCCCGCATGGTGCCGCAGACGCCCGGCCAGGTCCTTTATTGCAGACTTGCTCTCGTCAGCATCCGTGCCCCGTGTTAGTGGCGCGGGTTAGCGGGGCTCGGAGGCGGGCGCGGGGCGTGCACGGCGCACGGGGCGCCCACTCACCCATCGTGCTCTTCCGGTTCTCCTCGCGGTCCTCGGTGCGCGGGGGCACCAGCGGGCTGGGCGGCGGGGGCGCCGGCGCCCGTCTCTTCTTCTTCTGCAAGTCCATCTGTGACCCCAGAGACAGCTGTGGAGCACAAAGGACAGTCACTGTGAGGGGGACTGTCCGGGGAGGGTGCCCGGGGCCCCCGCGCGGGGCCACGGTGCTCTGAGGGGCCGTCGGGGCCGTGTCTGGGCCCCTGGGTGGGCAGCACGGGGCTGCTGTGTCTCCCATGGGTGGCCCCGAGGTGACCAGGGAGCTCACAGACACCCCAAGGCCCCTCTGAGCTCGGGGCCGGAGCTGGGCCCCGTATTTTATAGGGACCCCAGATGGAGCGGGAAATGTGGTAACTTCAGCAGGAAGACGCGCGAGGGGCTCCTCGGCCCTGGGTCAAGTGCAAAGGGAAACGGACGATTCCTCCTGGAAGCCGCGCCGGGAGCGGCCACGGTCGGGCCCACGCCACACGGACGGAGAGCGAAGTAACACACACCCATTCCCAAAATTTTAAAAATTAAAAGGGAGAAAACAATCCCTTTATTAACACCCAGTTCACCAACTAATAGCTGGCTAAGACTTTCCTGTCTCAGGTTTCCTTTTTAAAATCATGTTTTCTTCTTTCTATAACAAGATACAGCCACCTCTTGCAGCTTTAAAACCCTAGAATATATTTTTATAATAAACACGGACACAAGAAAAAGCCAAACAGTCCACTAAGCTTGGAGTCTACCCAAGCGGCAGGCTCGTGTCCACCGCCCCCACCCAGCCCCAACCACTTCAAACTTTCTGCTTTTAAAATTTACTCTAGCCTGGTCGGGCGTGGCTCAGCGGTTGAGCGTCGACCTAGGATCCAGGCGATCGGGGTTCGATTCCCGGTCAGGGCACATGCCCGGGTTGCGGGCTCGATCATTGACTTTCTCATCATTGATGTTTCTAGCTCTCCCTCTCCTTTCCTCTCTCTGAAATCAATAAAGATATATTTAAAAAGATTAAAAAATAATAATAAAATAAAAAAATAAAATTTACTCTATTTTCATAAATAACAAGCTTATTTTCTGATTTTTCCATGTGAGACGTCGGCTTCCACTGCAGACGAGGGTTTAGCTCTTCGAGACACCGACGCTTTGCTAGGGATTTGGCACAAACACAGCCTATTCCGAGTGTCTGCTGGTGCCCGCTGGGACGCCCCCCTCTTCTCTGTGACCCAGTCGGCCAACACTTTTACTCACTTCAGTGGGGTTTCCAAGGAGAAAGACGGACTAGCCCATTTGATCCGACATATTTTCTTCTTAAATATGTTTTTGTAGATTTTTTTGGGGGGGAGAGGGAGCAAGAGAGAGAAACATCAATGATGAGAGTCATTGATCGGCTGCCTCCTGCACGTCCCCTGCTGGGGATCCAGCCCTCAAACGGGCGTCTGTCCCAACCGGGAATCAAACCGTCACCTCCTGGTTCACGGGGCGACACTCAACCACTGAGCCACACCAGCCGGGCAGGACTCTTTCTTACAGGAAGACTTTGGGGACACTCTGCACCTTTTGGGGCTCCCTAATCCCACCATGAAGAACGCACCACCCACCCCGGCACCGGGGAAATATACAGCTCAGGGGTCTGAAGCTTAGGGTTCCCTCCGTGGTCTTGGTCTCGCAAGCCGACCGTGGTCTCAGAGGGTTTGCCGCCACTTTTCTGGTGACTACAGGTGACTACAGTCCATCCTCTGAAGGAAAGCTCCTGGCGGGTGGGGCGGGCGAGCCGCAGGGAAAACCATCCCCGTCACCACCATCCGTGGTCTTTCCAGAAAGAAAGACAAGCCCGCTGCAAGTGATGGGAAAAGACAAGACTCGCTGCTCAAGCACCGTCCGGGCCTCGCTTAGCACGCGTGCCCTAAACCAGAGCCGAGCCACGTGCCTGGGGTTTCTAACAGAGACCTGAGCTCGGGGTCCTCAAGCCCGATTTCCCCTCGGTCCCCAGTGCGTGCCCACGGGTCTCGTGCCCTTTCCGCAAACATTTATGAAGGGCTGTTCTTTTCCCGCCGTCAAGAGCAAACCAATACGGCAGGTCCTCGCATGACACTCCGTTCAACATCTTTTCATGGTGACGCTGACGAGAGGCCGGAGGAACTCAGCTCTTGTTTACACCCCTTGGCCTCTGGCGAAACTGCGTTCGTTACATCTTGTTCCCCCCCCCGACGTCGCAGAGCCTGCGGGGGCGCCAGGCGGGCATCTCCCGTACTGGGCACGTCTGAAGGCGATGAAATGTGAGTCCCACAGGCACTGACGACTTCCCTGGGCTTTATTACTCTCCAGCGTCAGAGCCACCTAATGGAAAGCAAGCACGTCGATGAACCACCGTCGCGATCGTCTATAAAGCTGCATTAAAAAATCATATTTGGCCCGGCCGGGCGTGGCTCAGCGGGTGAGCATGGACCTGGGATCCAGGCGATTGGGGTTTGATTCCCGGTCAGGGCACAGGCCCGGGTTGTGGGCTCGATCAATGACTCTCTCATCATTGATGTTTCTCTCTCCCTCTCCCTTCCTCTCTGATATCAATAATAAATTTTAAAAAGACAATAAATATTTTTAAAAAATAAAGCACTGACTGCTGTTCGTAAACTCACTTTTCCGAGTGCTGATGGTCACAGTGATTGGAAAGAATCATGAAAATCCCTGGATGCAAAGAAGCAAAGCGAAAGGGAAAAACGGAACCGCGTGTCCGTCAGGTCCCCTGACAAGGAGCAGCTCGCGGCTGACGCGACTGACAGGCAGAACCGAAGCGACAAACCTGACGGCAGCCGGGGCCGGGCCGTGAGCCCCGAATTCAAACAGTGTCCTTTAAACAGCCTGACTGTGACCTGCAGCCCCGCGTTTCCTGTCCGAGTGGCTGAGGCCCGCAGGACGGGGCGGGACTGCCCTGCCTCTCGCTGTTATCAGACGGCCCCACGAAATGCCAGAGGCCCGGCGGACGGCTAAAAATACACCGGAGGCTGATCCTCCACCAGCGCGGCCGCTCTGGCTGGAAGGGCTGGGGGGACGGCTCCCAACAAAGGGTGGACGGGAAACACGGGAAATGCTCGCATTTCCTTCCCCGCACGCTCAGCCCGGGACCGCCGGTCATCCGAGGCTCCCACAGGCTCCGCGTGGGCCCCGCGGTTCCCACGGCCGCACGGAAGTCCACTTCCCAGCGCACAATGCCGTCCTCCTGGTCCCCGGGCGGGGAGCGAGGGGCGGTCCCCAGTCCCAGGGCCGAGCCCCTCCGCGCCTGCACTTCCTCCGGCCTTTGTTCTGCACGGCAGTGAGTTTCGTATTTGCTTTTCCGAGGGACACGAAACCTATTCCTGGCTGCTGATCGCACAAGGAATCTGTGCCAGTCCGCGCTTTTGCTCTGCCTTCGTTGCATTGATGGCTGGCAGAGCCCCCTCGAGGGGCAGGGAGGGAGCGGGCGGGGGGGGG